CTTGAGTTCACAATTCAAATATAATATAAAAATTTATTATCGTGGAGATACTTTTTTCCTCAATTTCTTTTTGGTAATTAACCTTTATATTAATCACCAGTAATATTTACAAAGCTCCATAGTTAGCTATCACAGCATAACTATCATATATACATTACAATCTCATGCTCTTCCTATCTAGCTTTTAAAATCTATATCCCTGAACTAATTCAGCTATACTAGGAGGAGCTCGTGCGCAACAAACATACACTGTATCTTTAGCTATCTTCTCCCAGCTCTTATTTTTCTTTTCAAAAATTCTCTGATTTCTCTCTATCCATATATTATGTACCATTTTTGTGTATAGCATTTTGAATAGTTGTGCTTCTCTTGATCTCCCTTTAGCTCTTCTAATCACTTCTTGCACATGTTGCTCCCAGTTAGTTCCTGTTAGGCTTAGTTTCTGTGCCAAGTGCATCACTCTCTTTAGTACCTCCCTTGTGTAGCTACACTCTACATGAATGTGATCTCTTGTTTCTTCTTGTCCCTGACATAAGCTGCATTTGTCTTCTCCCTGAATCCCCCATTGCTTTAACCTTTCCACTGTAAGTAGTCTGTTCTGCAGTTGTAACCACAAAGTGAATTTTGCTTTTGGCCTTGCAGAGACGGATAAAAGTTCGATGCGGTGAACGTGGATCAAACACGTGACCTTCAGATCTTCAGTTTATTTATGCGGTTTATTTAATATTATTTTTTATTTTTTCTTGGTACTGGACATTATGGAGTGGTAATGTATTGCCAACACGGAGAATACTAATAAAATTAATATTATTAAACCTTCTTACATATTTTTAATAAGAATTTAATAGTCAAAATTTTATTAATTTTAAAATTTTAATATTAAAAATGAGCATAGAAGGTATTGTAGTCCAAAAATAGGTTATTACAGTTATGTCCTTTCCCAATGAGTTCTTTCATTTAATCTTTTAAAGCTATTTTGGTCTATTAATATTATATTAGTGGTATTGGCTCTTACCAACCTTTTTCTTTCTTTTCTCACACACTTATATTCTTAAAAAATTTCTTAGTTTTTCTTTAATAATTTGGTATATTTTTATATACTACATAAAAAATTAATAATTAAAAAAAATATTATGAGTAGGAAAGCAGTTCAAATATAACATAATAATATATTATTGTAGGAATTTTTTTCTCAATTTCAACGCTTTATGCAGTTCGTTTAACATTTCTTTTATTTTTTCTTGGTATTGAATATTATAGAGTGGTAATGTATTACCAATATTGAGGATTCTTATGAAATTAATTTTATTAAGCCTTCCAAATCAATTTAAAAAAAGGAGAGAACATATTATATTATATTATTATTATTATTATTATTATTATTATTATTATTATTATTATTATTATTATTGTAAAAGTATGAATACAATATTGGTAGACTAAAATAGACCTAAAATATTAAATAAAATAACTTCATGGGAAAGGACAAAACTGTAATAACCTATTTTTGGACTATAATACCTTTTATGTTGAACTTTTAAATAATTAAAATTTTAAAATTAATAAAATTGTGTCATTAAATTTTTATTAATAATATGTACGAATATTTAATAAAATTAATTTTATAAAAATCCTCCGTATTGATAATATATTAAGTACTATTCTTGTAAAAAAGGAAAAAAGTGGATTCAGGGATTAGATATTTTAACTTGGACTTCACTTTGTCTTTGTTCTAAAACAAACCTAAACAAATATAAAACAAATCATGGATAACATATACGGACGAAACAAACTAAAAAGTGAATTAATTTTGATGACAACTGTACTATGGAGTTATTTGACTTTTAACATGAATCTGTTTAGTTCACGATTTTTGTGTATTGTATTGAAGAAATAATTAAAAGAAAAAAACTGAAGAAATAATTTAATATTTATAGGTTAGAGGATAGTCATTGATTG